CTTCAAATGGATGTAGCTTGTGAGGACTTTAAACCCCGATAAAATAAACCATTCTTTCCCTAGGCAGTGTCTTCAAATGGTTGTAGCTTGTGAGGACTTTAAACCCCGGTGAAATAAACCATTCTTTCCCTAGGCAGTGTCTTCAAATGGATGTAGCTTGTGAGGACTTTAAACCCCGGTAAAATGAACCATTCTTATAAAGCTTTGAAGGAGATTACTATGATATAGGCCTTCCTCAGACTCGAATGTGTTTTCTAATTGTTTATTTGATAGAATGCAATGTGTAAGTAAAATGTATACGGTTCATACACCGGTAAAACTTAACTATATCCTTTTGAACGTGTTTGTAAATTATGAAAACATCATGGTGTTTTATCAAGACAAATAGTATTTAATTTATTTAACAAAATTGAAGTAATATTGGCTTAAACTGTATTTATTCAAGTAATGGAATACATGGCATGGATAACACATACAAGTAATGTGTACTTATATAAATCCTTCTCGTCTTTCTAACAAACTAGCGGCCTTATAAATGACTGTTATTTGATAAAACTATAGGTACATGAAAACGAATGAAAAAGAAAAGAATCTGTTAAGGGACATGTTACGATAGATCCATTGATATTCCATATTGAACGGTGTTACGAAGTTACACCGTCTCAATGAATTATAATAATTAAATATACACATTATAACACAGTAGTTTTTATCTTGGTATGAGATAAACAGCCGTACATTGGATTAACGATGGAGTTTTGCTTACACACACTCATCAGACGGAAATGGCTACAGTAGGGGCTGGAACACTTCTGACACATTGGATGGATAGCAGGACACCCCAATACGTGTAAGCTGGATTAACTTATATGGGGTATATATCATCGTTCACTGAAGGTATGATTACATATTACTATATTTACAAATTGCGGAAGCCAGAGCAAAACATTCATCTACTCTTTTAATCTTCTTTCACTCTCAGTTCTCTGTAAAACGTATCTTTGTGCATGTTATGTTAACGCTGTTCGAATTTTCCTTAGTTCGATTAATTGTCTGCAGACGTGTTGTAGCATGCATTTATTAGCTTTTCTTTATAGGTATGACATTAAGGTTTCTCGATCATCTGTAAACAGCTCTCTTCATAGTGCATAGTCTGTTGACGTTTATTTCTCAAAAGATTTTTTTATTTTTTATTTTATCGAAATCGACAGATGACATTTCTTTACTGTGGATTTTGGAATTCTTGCCAGCCTTCTCATCATGCAAACTATTAGCTGGATACGATATGAAAGATGAACGTGCGACAACACATAGGTTATTGATCTTTTAAAATTTGGTAATAGATACAGTTTGTCGAAAATGAATAGCCTAGCACCATACAGTTGTCTTATCGTTATACGTGTAGAACTAATCGGTGATACAATGGCCAAAAGGTGGAAATACAAATAAATCTAATCTACTGTTGAAACAAACCCAACAAGTGCGTGAACCCTTGTTATATTAATTTCAAACATAAGAGGAGTACTTGTTTATTTACGAAATAATCAATATATGAGCACGCTTCTAGTTGGAGAAGATATCACGAGGGTGAAGAAATGTTGGGGAATATATCACGAGGGTGAAGAAATGTTGGGGAACATATCACGAGGGTGAAGAAATGTTGGGGAATATATCACGAGGGTGAAGAAATGTTGGGGAAAAACTAACGAAAGCTGCGAGCCCCTCGCGGCCTGAGCTGTTTTTTCTCTCTTAAATGTTCGAATCCCGAGTTATAGTTTCAATCATATATGTTGATTAGATCTATTCTACCAAGTAAAATGTTGTGAAGTCTTGTTTTGCGTCTACCTCGGTGTCAATACGCCTTTGTGACCCACACAATCTTCTTTTGCGAATGCAAACACTTTTCACGTGATGCGAATATGTCTTCATTTCCTTAATAAACTGCGCGATTTTACTATACCGATGTATTTAACATGGATATTTTTTTTTAAAATTAGGTCATGCTATTTACAACCAATCTATAGACATCGCTCGTCAACCCATGACATCAGCATTTGACGGATTTCAAGTCACATTCGCATTAGGATCTCGGCGGGACATCATGAGCGTGACCTCGACAATGGAAATGTTTGTTTGTCTGCCAGCAAATCTTCAAATATATTAAACTAAATGTGTGTACTCTGTTTCGACAAGGAACACCAGTCCCGAGGCTCGCTTGTTTACGGGGAATATAGAGCGACTGTGGGCAGTGGGCCTTGTTGTTTAATAATACTTTTAAATTGTCTGAGGGTATAAAGTCACAAATACATTTAAACTATCTTTAACTTTGTTAAGAAAATAAGTAGATTTTGTGTGTTAAATGAATTAGTTAAGTAGATGTGGTGTTGTAATTAATCACCAAATCTACTTAACGTTTATGTTATGTTTTGGATTGTGAAACTCTTTTCCAAATTGAGTTAACTTTCACATTAAGACAGCATATAGTTTATTTCACTTTTCTTTAAATTTAATAAACTTTATTTATTTTACAACAATTATGAAACAAGTTATTTCAACTTATATGAATCACTTTTGATGGCCCGGATTTTAGCGCGCAGCGGGACTTAATGTGGGAGGAAACCGGAATACCAGGAGAAAACCCATGTGATCGGGCGGGTGACCCCATACATTTTCACGTCCGATCGGGGAATCGAACCCCGGCCACATTGGTGAAAAAAACAAGTGCGCTATCCACTGTGCAACCCGACCACTTTTCTTCAAGAAGTTACATGCTATCACCCTTGCTTATACAGTTTATAAGTCACAGTTCATTCGCTACTCTATTGCCTGTATCAGGAATTGAGGCTTGATGAGGACGAAAACATTACGTAGCCATGATCTTCTGTATCTTCTGCCCGATAAATCACTCTAGGCTGCGTATTTATACGGTAAATTGCATCACCGTGATCTAGTGTATGTCTCAGCGAATTCAGATTTGCCATGGTTTAATGTCTGTTTACTATTTATTATTATACATATATATATAAAACATATCACGAAAACTACAATTAGCCAGTGCTTTCGCCCATCTTGGGGCTGTTCAGGCGATTTGAACTTATTTGTGATGTCACAACGCGGAAAATTTCGAGCACCTCTTTTTAGTTTAAATTTATAAATTCCGTATGTTTGATATGTTCCGATGAACCAGGTATTGTGCTTTGAGAAGATTTTTACAATCAGATGTTTTTTTAACGTTTACTCTTGAACAATCTTTTCATTTGAACATTAATAACATTCTCCGTTTCTTTTTCCAGATATATTTCATTGCCTCATTTAACGTAATTACATTCATGTAATCATTTTAAGACGTCGGAATTTATAAACGTCCGCATTATGTGAACTTTGTTTATGACGCCATCGACAAAAACATATTTTACCATGTCCTTACGTCGATCTCGTGTTAAAATATAAGTGTAAGAATCCACATTTAAAGTGGATTACTGCTTTATTCAATTTAACGAAACACAATGCTATTTATTGTGTGAGAATTACTCGAAGATAAATTCATCGAGCGGCAGCCTCATTTCTTCCATTTTCTCTTTGTAGACAGCATCAAACTTTTCGTTCTGCGCTACGGTGAATGTGTTCTTCCAATCGCCAACTATTCCTGTAAAAATTCAAGCAGTACTATTTCGTTTACTATTCAAGTGATTTTGCATTGTTCATCACAATAATACCGTTAGTAAATGCGTCCTTCATTTTATCTTCATGAGCACGACCGTAATATATTTGATACGTCATTTATAATATTGTCTTTACAGTGACTATTTTTATTTGTTTGTATGAGTTTGTGATTAAATTATTTTAAAATCATGATTGTAACTACATTGTATATATATTCGATCAAATTTTGAGCCACTCATGGACAGAATTTGTATAGGCCTGCCTGTTATTCAATCCATTTGACTATTACATCTGTCAATAAAATTTGTTGAAATGAAATATGTGTTTGACTGATAAGCTCAATACAGAGTATTATAAAAAGCTATCAAAAGGCAGAATATACTGAAAAAATACGTCTTCTTCAAACAATTAAAAGCATAGAAGATGGATAATAATCATCCGTAATCTAGCTCGTCGGATACCAGTACAGATGAGTAGTAGGCTACCTTTCCTATAAACAGGCAGTCTTCCTCCTTCAGTATTATTCTTCCACCTATCTGTTTCTCCGGTCTGTGTGTCATGCTTTTTCTTTAGTCGTTCAAAGGATACGTTCTTCTCAACTTCATGAAGAAATGAACTCGTTCGTTCGAGGTTTAAAAACTTTGATATTTTGATGACATTTTCAAACAGATTCTGAAACAAAAGCAAAAAGAAAGAATGCATTGGTAATTTAGATTGGGCTATTCCTCCTTTATTTAACTAAATATAATTTTGCTATTTTAAACAAATCATACCTTTTTAAGGTCTTCGTATCGAAGATTTAAAATCTGCAAGTCTTTATTATTCCGTTTGGCTTCTTCCCATTCCTTCAGGTACGTGAACAGTGAGCAACCAACACCACAGACTGTAATAATAAAACACATGTACGTGAACACCCACTAACCGATACCACAGACTGTAATAATAAAACACATGTACGTGACAGTGAGGAACCGATACCACAGACTGTAATAATAAAACACATGTACGTGAACAGTGAGTTACCGATACCCACGACTGTAATAATAAAACACATATACGTGAACAGTGAGCAACCGACACCACAGACTGTAATAATAAAACACATATACGTGAACAGTGAGTGACCGACAACCACGACTGTAAAAATAAAACAAATGAACGTGAACAGTGAGTAACCGATACCACAGACTGTCAAAATAAAACACATGTACGTGCACAGTGAGTTACCGATACCCACGACTGTAATAATAAAACACATATACGTGAACAGTGAGCAACCGACACCACAGACTGTAATAATAAAACACATATACGTGAACAGTGAGCAACCGATATCACAGACTGTAATAATAAAACACATGTACGTGACAGTGAGGAACCGATACCACAGACTGTAATAATAAAAAACATATACGTGAACAGTGAGTAACCGACAACCACGACTGTAAAAATAAAACAAATGAACGTGAACAGTGAGTAACCGATACCACAGACTGTCAAAATAAAACACATGTACGTGAACAGGGAGTAACCGATAACCACAGACTGTAATAATAAAACAAATGTACGTGAACAGTGAGTGACCGACACCCACGACTGTAAAAATAAAACAAATGTACGTGAACAGTGAGAAACCGATACCACAGACTGTCAAAATAAAACACATGTACGTGCACAGTGAGTTACCGATACCCACGACTGTAATAATAAAACACATATACGTGAACAGTGAGCAACCGATATCACAGACTGTAATAATAAAACACATGTACGTGACAGTGAGGAACCGATACCACAGACTGTAATAATAAAAAACATATACGTGAACAGTGAGTAACCGATACCACAGACTGTAATAATAAAACACATATACGTGAACAGTGAGTGACCGACAACCACGACTGTAAAAATAAAACAAATGTACGTGAACAGTGAGAAACCGATACCACAGACTGTCAAAATAAAACGCATGTACGTGAACAGTGAGTAACCGATAACCACAGACTGTAATAATAAAACAAATGTACGTGAACAGTGAGCAACCAACACCACAGACTGTAATAAAAAAACACATATACGTGAACAGTGAGTAACCGATACCACAGACTGTAAAAAGAAAACACATGTACGTGAACAGTGAGTAACCGAAACCCACGACTGTAATAATAAAACACATTTACGTTACAGTGAGGAACCGATACCACAGACTGTAATAATAAAAAACATATACGTGAACAGTGAGTAACCGATACCACAGACTGTCAAAATAAAACGCATGTACGTGAACAGTGAGTAACCGATAACCACAGACTGTAATAATAAAACAAATGTACGTGAACAGTGAGTGACCGACAACCACGACTGTAAAAATAAAACAAATGTACGTGAACAGTGAGTAACCGAAACCACAGACTGTAATAATAAAACACATGTACGTGAACAGTGAGCAACTGATACCACAGACTGTCAAAATAAAACACATGTACGTGAACAGTGAGTAACCGATACCCACCACTGTAAAAATAAAACACATATACGTGAACAGTGAGTAACAGATACCACAGACTGTAAAAATAAAACACATGTACGTGAACCGTGAGTAACCGATACCCACGACTGTAAAAATAAAACACATATACGTGAACAGTGAGTAACCGATACCACAGACTGTAATCATAAAACACATGTACGTGAACAGTGAGTAACCGACACCCATGACTGTAAAAATAAAACACATGTACGTGAACAGTGAACAACCGATACCACATACTGTAATAATAAAACACATATACGTGAACAGTGAACAACCGATACCACATACTGTAATAATAAAACACATATACGTGAACAGTGAACAACCGATACCACATACTGTAATAATAAAACACATATACGTGAACAGTGAGTAACCAATACCAACGACTGTAATAATAAAACACATGTACGTGACAGTGAGGAACCGATACCACAGACTGTAATAATAAAATACATGTACGTGAACAGAGAGTAACCGATACCACAGACTGTAATAATAAAATACATGTACGTGAACAGAGAGTAACCGATACCACAGACTGTAATAATAAAACACATGTATGTGAACAGTGAGTAGCCAATAACACAGACTGTAAAAATAAAAGACATGTACGTGAACAGTGAGAAACAGACACCCAGGACTGTAGAAAATAAAACACATGTACGTGAACAGTGAGTAACTAATACCACAGACTGTAAAATAAAACACATATACGGGAACAGTGAGTAACAGACACCCACGACTGTAAAAATAAAACACATGTACGTGAACAGTGAACAACCGATACCACAGAATGTAAAAAAAAAACACATGTGCGTGAACAGTGAGAAACCGATACCACAGACTGTAAAAATAAAACACATGTACGTGAACCGTGAGCAACTGATACCACAGACTGTCAAAATAAAACACATGTACGTGAACAGTGAACAACCGATACCACAGACTGTAAAAATAAAACACATGTACGTGAACCGTGAGCAACTGATACCACAGACTGTCAAAATAAAACACATGTACGTGAACAGTGAACAACCGATACCACATACTGTAATAATAAAACACATATACGTGAACAGTGAGCAACCGATACCACAGACTGTAAAAATAAAACACATGTACGTGATTCCTTCAGGTACGTGAACAGTGAGCAACCAACACCACAGACTGTAATAATAAAACACATATCCGTGAACAGTGAGTAACCGATACCACAGACGGTAATCATAAAACACATGTACGTGAACAGTGAGTAACAGACACCCAGGACTGTAGAAAATAAAACACATGTACGTGAACAGTGAGCAACTGATACCACAGACTGTCAAAATAAAACACATGTACGTGAACAGTGAGTAACTAATACCACAGACTGTAAAATAAAACACATATACGGGAACAGTGAGTAACAGACACCCACGACTGTAAAAATAAAACACATGTACGTGAACCGTGAGCAACTGATACCACAGACTGTCAAAATAAAACACATGTACGTGAACAGTGAACAACCGATACCACATACTGTAATAATAAAACACATATACGTGAACAGTGAGTAACAGACCCCCAGGACTGTAGAAAATAAAACACATGTACGTGAACAGTGAGCAACCGACACCACAGACTAAAAATAAAACACGTGTACGTGAACAGTGAGCAACCGACACCACAGACTGTAATAATAAAACACATGTGCGTGAACAGTGAGTAACCGACACCCACGACTGTAAAAATAAAACACATGTACGTGATTCCTTCAGGTACGTGAACAGTGAGCAACCAACACCACAGACTGTAATAATAAAACACATATCCGTGAACAGTGAGTAACCGATACCACAGACTGTAATAATAAAACACATGTACGTGAACAGTGAGTAACCAATACCACAGACTGTAAAATAAAACACATATACGTGAACAGTGAGTAACAGATACACACAGAGTGTAATAATAAAACACATGTATGTGAACAGTGAGTAGCCAATACCACAGACTGTAAAAATAAAAGACATGTACGTGAACAGTGAGTAACAGACACCCAGGACTGTAGAAAATAAAACACATGTACGTGAACAGTGAGTAACCGATACCCACAGACTGTAAAATGAAACACATGTACATGACTGATATCCACGACTGTAATAAATTAAAACACATATACGTGAACAGTGAGCAACCGATAACCACCACTGTGAAATATAACGTCTCCTGTTAGACCCTTTTTAAAAGTATTCAATTTAAAGAAAAGATTTCTTACACTAGACTTCCATGAAAGGCAACTGAGCTGAGGTCTACACATTTGTATAGCATTCACAGTATAGGTAGCTAACATCTTTACGAGCCTACTAAACAGAACACCTGAGCTATGATTTTTACCGCTACAGTTATTAAATGTACATATCAACTGGATAGTACATAATACCACTACACTTACAACATTTACAAGGAAACTGAACAGGACTTAAAACCACCACACTTACTTAATATACAATGAAACTAAACAGACATAATACCACTACACTTACTGAATTTACAAGGAAACTAAACAGACATAATTCCACTACACTTACAACATTTACAAGGAAACTGAACAGGACTTAAAACCACCACACTTACTTAATTTATAAGGAAACTAAACAGACTCAAAACCACCACACTTACTTAATTTATAAGGAAACTAAACAGACACAAAACCACCACACTTACTAAATTTACAAGGAAACTGAATAGACATAATACCACTACACTTACTAAAGCTACAAGGAAACTGAACAGACATAATACCACTACACTTACTAAATCTACAAGGAAACTGAACAGACATAATTCCACTACACTTACAACATTTACAAGGAAACTGAACAGGACTTAATACCACTACGCTTACTAAATTTACAGGGAAACTGAACAGACATAATACCACTACACTTACTAAATCTACAAGGAAACTAAACAGACATAATTCCACTACACTTACAACATTTACAAGGAAACTGAACAGGACTTAATACCACTACGCTTACTAAATTTACAGGGAAACTGAACAGACATAATACCACTACACTTACTTAATCTACAAGGAAACTAAACAGGACATAATACCACTAAACTTACTAAATTTACAAGGAAAACTGAACAAACATAATACCACTACACTTACTAAATCTACAAGGAAACTAAACAGACATAATACCACTGGACTTACTTAATTTACAAAGAAACTGAAGAAAACTTAATACCACAACACTTACTAAATAAATTAAACTAAACAGTAGGTAACACCTTTTTACTTATATAGGTCATATTGGTTAATATCACTTCAACAACTTTATACATGGTCAGATTAACTGTGATTACTGTCGCTTGACTTATTAATATACGTGTCAACTCAACACCGGTTAACACAACTACAGATTTGTACTTTATTTACAGACCGATTCACTGTACCATCAACTGAACAGTACTCAATACACTAACTCACTGTACCATCAACTGAACAGTACTCAATACATAAACACCTACTCCATGTAAGTGTTATCTAAACTGTAGTTTATACCACCACCCCTACTTGTGTCGAACTTAAACACCAACAACCATGTACATAAGTATGTGATTGAGCGAAAATACAAATGGCCAGATTCACATCTCGGACCTCCAAACTGTAGACGAGCTCTCTACTAATTGAACAACCATAACATACAAATGGTATCGAGATTTAGACAAAGTAACCGGAGGTGGTGGCTAGCATTGCGTGTTAATAAACCATTATAGAAGTTGTTACATGTATTAAATCAACAGGAAATCATCTACATTAAAGAAAACATGCAGTAAAAGGATATATCTACCTTATTCCTTATTACACCAAATACTATAGTAATAATAATATTGTCACACACCAAAACAAACCAACGTTATATAGCAAATCAAAGGTTTAGAGAAATGTCCGGTGTGTCTATTGAAGTTTGTAATTGCATTGATCTCTAAATGAAATATTTAATCCATAATTGAACTCTACATTGGAAAGTAAGAAAGAAAAGTAAAACAAGTTATTTTAATTCTAGCTTCATTCACAGAAATTTCAAACATCCCTATAACACTGAATACAAATAGCCTTACATTCATCTGATAGAAAATACTTGAGGAAGCCGTCAAAAGTGCCTTCGTATGCCATATTCCTCATGCTTTTGAAGAATTCGTAGAAAGACAGCACTGAATCCTTGGGATTCCTCATCACCTGTATAATTTTGATGTCGCCTCGTTTTGCCGCGTCAGGGATAAACGGGTATGCTGCATGAGTGAGATACATGCGCGGTGATTGCAGCTTTTCAATATCGCTGATTGGATGAAATTCCATCACAACCGGTGTTCCACTGTATTCCAAATTGTTTCCACGTATCATCTGGACCATGTTAAAAACCCAGTGAGTTCCTGTCGATAAAATATCTTTCATAATGACCGTTAAAATGACGGACGTGTAAGCTGTCTCAACATAATGATGTCATAACAACATTTGATTCCTGGGCATATGCCATGAATCGCGTTTTACATTATTTAAACTTACAATTTAAAATGCTATAAAGGTATCGACGCAAATACGAATAAAACAAATAAAGCTAGTTTTATTTATTTATACAAGGGGGCAAATCAGTAGACAGAGCGGCATGTTTTCGCGGGAAAATTTGAATTCTTCGTTGGAGATCACCTGTGTTATGCAAAAATAAGTGTCAATTTCGTCAATTATACCTATACATCAGAATAATACTTCGTTTATAGCAGATTAACATGCATTTATAATTTGTATTCTCCAAATATCAATGGTAATTATCTATACCTAGCATTGCACTGCCTTTTACTTAACACCCATCGTACCCCATATTAATTGAAATACTTAATCATCTAAGAGAGTTCTCATCTTATTTTTACACTATCGCGACATCTATTTGCTCTCCCGAGCCCCGATACTTGCAACCAGTCCTTAAATTCCATAAAGAATTTTCCAGAAGCTGTTTCTACTAGCTACAAGCAGACAAGAGACTTGAGACAGTTTACTGCATCCTCGGTATCCAGGAGTTACGCTCACTTTTGCTCTCTACACCCTTAGAATATGTCATAGCAAAATTGAAAGCTCGTTGCGTGCCACCTTGTTGATGAGACAAGAAGACTAGTTCGATCCTTTGATGTACATCAAACAAATCTCGCGGTCACGTAACGGTAATATTGACAGGCTTTGAAGTCGGGCGTCTCTCCTTTTGTAATCTTCAAAGGACAAGTATCAGTCTAGCGATTGGTCAGGTTTTTTTTTACCTGGGACCAATCAAAGAGCTATCTTCGTGCCTTCAATTTTGCCATGACATATTCGAGGGGTGTAGAGAGCGAACGTGAGCGTAACCGCTGGATATCGAAGATGAGCTTACTGATGCATATTATGCAATCATCTTTGAGATCGTGTCAATCAAGATAATTGTAATTCCGCAAAAGTATGAAGCACCTTAACTTAAGATTACCTGATTTAGGAAATGTACATAGGAGAACATCGTCAGGCTGACCCTTGTAAGCAGCAACCTCAGCTAGGTGATCGCCGACATTTCCTATAACGTCTGGGTGGAATGTCCGCCCCTGGTAACGTTTATAATGCATTCTGTTGCCATATTCATCAACGATGTTGACAAGCTCCATACCTTGAAGTCTAAAATAATACCATTTATAAAGGTATGTATTCAAATACGACAATATTTATACATGTTATCTTATGTTTCATATCTGGTGGTTAATTATGCAATAGCAGTACTCTAACGACAATAGATAATATATGAACCATCAGCATGTCTCTGAAACCTCTTGAGTGGTACATATGTGATGTTAGATACTACCTTAGTATGACTATACTCATATACCAGATAGTTGTCTGCTTATCAATATGGTACCATTGACCAATGAGTCCCCACTAACTCTTAACAGTCAGTTCTGCTTCCATTAGATCATTCCACTAAGCCATTCCACACCAGATTTGATTACAATCAAATAGTGTACCTGCGATGCTCATCTAAATACGATATCAATAGCTTATACTTTCCAACTTGAATTATGAAGAAAACTCTTGTTCCTCACTGATACTACATTATAAATCACTGAGAGGGCGCTCAGAATTAATGCTTTCTCGATACTTGTCCGAGGAACAGAGCTAATATACATAATTTTCATATAAATACGCATCAACATAGTGCATCCCTACAGAGATGCCAGGAACGTATTTACTACTTGTTTCCCCATCCCTTTTTAATATAAGTTGGAGTCAGAATAACAACAGAGGTCCCGGTGAGATCCTTAGCGGAGGGATTCACACATTATTACCACTGTTCTATTTTGTATAAGTTACAATGTTTGCAGCGAGCAATATAGTCACATTATTTTGTATCGGGCATTGTTGAAATGTCGTGAAAATGGTTGTTTACCTGTGGTTACGTGCAGGTATGTGAACATAATAACTTACCCTATACGCTACGTTCGAGATAAACTATATCATTTTTGAGATGACTCATGCTTTTTCTTTTCTAGGTCTGGGTCAACGTGCTCGGTCTACATCAAAATGAGAAATGTCTTTACAACTACAGTTATATGAATATTATATTTCGTCATTAGTGTGGGATATCAAATCCCGATAACCACGTGAGAATGTATTGGATGCATCTTTAGCCATGTGCGTGGTATACATATATATATTAGACGTTAACGCATTGTGTATGTAAATGTCTAAGATATTGACATGTTGTCGTATATTTGTAAAACAAAAATGTGCCAAGTGGGCATCTTTAGCCTTGAGTATCGTTGATGCCATTTTGCATGTGAATGTCTTAGACAATTCCAGTTTTCATTATTTTTTGTACAAATAGAGTTCTAATAACATTTTTAGAATTTGTGAATGTAGAACTAGACAAGTATTGAGTAAGTTACTAAATGCTCATAGACTGAGCACTGTCGGAGAATACCCAGGCAGTACGACATACATACGATGTATAATAGGATATGTTGTAGGGTCAAAACGCATAGCTTAATACCAGTCATATAGAGCTTCTTTATTGCATATGTTAGACAACTTGGACATAGTTGTGCATTCTTACTTTATTTAAGAAATATTCAAAATAAAACGTATAGAGGATTCGACTCTCCGAGCAGACATTCACCTCTATCTCCCAAGGCTACCATCTGAGCTAGGCCAAGAGTAATCGACATTTTGTAAAACAATACATACATGTAGCTAGAAAGCTACTTTGTTTGATCATGGTAAGCTTACCTATTCTTCTGTTCACTTCTATATTAAGATTTTACACCGACATCCACATCCCCGTACACTGTGTTATCTGCGAGTAGAAGCTGGTCTAGATACCATGTGACCTCGGGGTCGTGCCCGTGACGATACATATATGAGGATACATTTGCGTGTTATCAACGGTTCTTTTTGTGTCTATATCTGACGTAATACAGGCTTATATCTACAGCTACCAAGGGACGAGCCTCGCAGATTACGATATAAAGTCACATCACGTGTCAGGTCGACGCATATCTTGTTTACTTAGTTAAACCACAACAAGATCATGTTACTACAGCACAAGATTTGAGCAATTATCGGATAATAACATAAGGATTTGATCTATATTTATGATATTACAAGACAAGGTTTGAGTTATATTATTATTTAACATAATATTTGAGCTACAATATTATTACAACACATGATTTGAGCTATACTTTTTACTCCAATGCAAGATTTTAGCTTATGATTTTACTACAATATCAAGATATAGAACAGGTATACCACAGAAAGCAGGCTAATAGAGATTGTATGTGCATACTGTACATAACAACTGAAATAACAGGATACAAAACATCGAAAAAAATGAAAAAAAATAAAGATAGAATACTCAATTATAGAGCTTTTATGTTAATTAATTTGAAATCACCTTGTTTCTTTGACATTACTAACCGTATGAAAGTATTCTTATCATTTAACTAATTTGGTTTCGGATTAGGATTTCTGGTTTTAAACCGCACGCCAATCAAGCTGATGCACGTGGTTCAGTGGGAGGTAGCTCGTAGGTGTTGGTAGAATTTAATAGGATCTAACGTGATTTGTTTAAATTTTATATTTTATTTTATATTAAATTTTATATTTTATTATAAATATTGTATGTACTGTATTACATATGATTTGTTTGATGCTGCAGGGAATATTTCCAATCGGAGGAAGTTGCCCCTAAAATTGGAATCTATGAGTTCCGTTCCGCTATTCTGTAAGCTGCTAGCAATCCGTATATTGTTGTATTATGTCTTCGACCGGCTTAGCTAATACCAAAACAAAGTCATTGTTGAAAATATTGTACTTTACTGTAAATCGGCAGCTTTTTTATATTTTTGTTTTGTTTATGCTCCAACTTCAATCGAACACACAGCCAAATATGGATTACTCGTGTTTATAACTCTAGAGAAGTGTTCTATGAATTCTCTTCCACTTTTTTTGTATCATAACCTTAATTAGTAACCTTAATCATATTTTATTGTATTTAGATTCTCCAAGATTTTTGCCCTTTGCTCCGTTCAAATGTGTAAAGTGATCGCGGACTATACAATTTGACCTCGAGGTCAAAGTTATTTATATCGTAATCTGTGCGAAAATAACATAGCTACAAATCTGTGTCTACAAGGGATGTTTTTGTTTCGGAAAACCTAATAATATCAAAACAGCAAAATCAACATTTACATATACTTTGTGAAGAAGTAATATGTATTCAAGAAAGCTATCATTTCATTTTTACTGAAATTGCAAAGATATCTACAACAGTCCATTTCCTTACAATAACCTCAAATGAACTCTCTACACTAATCAGCAGCGGTGACTTAAGGTTTTTTAAACATCACCATTGTCATGTAGAAAACCACTAAGAAAATGAAAATATACCTTAGATTTATACATGACAGTTAGCTCACACATATTTCTACTAAAACCGTTTTGAAGTCATAATCATATTTATGCTGAAAAGAAGATATTAAAATATAGCTGTATTCAACGTAAACAGATGAAATGTATTTGTTCATTATTTTATATCCTAATGTGGTGTTGATATTCGTTTTAAGAATCCTTGAAGGGAGTGTGGCATATACAGATGGAGATGGAGCGTAGTACAAGGAACCCTGGGAATGACAGAGATAATAACGAAACAAACTCGATGAGGGAAATCACGAGACCTATAATAATTCATTTCTTAGGAAAAATGGCGGATAAAAAGCTGCACTTCAAAAGATATTTTCATGATCAACTGACAATTGTTTAGTTTTATATAATGGAGAAGAATGTATTTAATTGCAAGGTATACTTTTGGCTCAGTGTTGGGTTTGCATAGTTTCACAATCTTTCACATACAAACAAGCATGTAGGTGCTGTCACGTGTTTGTCTAACGTTCATCTTTGATACAATTTAAATAAAATGTGTTATCAGTAAAATCGATCATTAATTACAGAATTTTCTTTACTTATTGTTAATTGATATACAACTCAGTTTATTCCATTTCACCAGTTCTCTCAGATCACCAACGACAGGACGGATTAAGCTCTTCACGTTTTTTTTTTTGTTAACAAAATTGGAAAATTTGCTGACCTTACCTATGTATATTAAAGTGTTCTATATTACTTTAGACGGCGATTTTTGGCTTTTTCGAGGATTTTAGACATTCGTAGCCAATGATTTCACCCGACAAAGTCTTATAGAAAGCGATCTGTATGACAAAGGTCGTTCTTCATCATAAAGACAGTTTCGTCATACGAATAGATTTGGGCGGGGTCTTCTCGACCGTGATTGGTCGGTAAGTAACAACAATAAAATGTTGTTATCACAATGGAACTACAATGATATCAGCCTGATTAATCATTACCACGATAATTAAACGCTTTTCGTATGAACCTCATCTTTAAAATAACAACGTGATATGTAGGTTACGTTTTCTTCTGTCATGTGTACACAAAACAGATAACTACCAGGAAAACCCCCACGAAACAAAAATAAAGATAAATGTTATAATATACCTCTAACGGATCTACCCACTATTCTAATACATATAGCGATAGAGAAGACTATTGTGGAATAGGCCTAGCTGAAACAACTAACAACTTTATAATAACCTTTCAATATGTCTGTTTATTTATGCAATCACTTAAATGGATATGTTAAAAAGGATATTTCGATTACATAACGATATTCAATTTACACAAATCTATATCCATACATTGATATCAACAGCGTTAAGAAATTAAGATTTTTTTTAAAGATATATATACAATCATTGTAAGACCGCGTTACAACATTGAATAAAAAAAGCAGGTCAAGGAAGTAAAAGGATATGGTTACCATTACACTTTTTGGTTATTATCGCGGTTTAGGACACCCAACGACATTAAATTCTTTCACGCTAAGATGCGTAGAACTTGCTTTAGGAAATACATGTAGTTGTGAGAAAACAAGTTTTTAATGTAATTTTATCAAAGCACATTGCTATTTGTTGTGTGTCAACTACTCGAAGATAAATTCATCGAGCGGCAGTCCCATTTCTTCCATTTTCTCTTTGTAAACTGCATCAAACTTTTCGTTCTGAGCTACAGTGAATGTGTTCTTCCAATCTCCAATTATTCCTGTATAAAATTAAAATATGCATGTAGTACTATTTGGACGCAATCGTTATGAACATGAACCCCTATAATACCTTAACTATAGATCAGGTATGTATTCATGTAATAATACTATTCATATGTTTGGAAATAATCTGTGTATGTCAAACAGGATGTAGTTAATGTAGCCGCTTTGAATTCGCCCTATTATAAGAACGATCGTTCAATCTTTAACATGGTATCAATGATATAAACATCACAGTGTGAATAAGTACTTTTTACAAATTTACATTTCTGTGCATGTATTCGACAGATCAGATGACATTACAGGTAAATAGTAACCTACCTTTTCTATAGACAGGCAGTCTCCCTCCGTCGGCCAAATCCTTCCACCTATCTGTTTCTCCAGTCATCGTGTTGTGTTTTCCCTTTAGTCGTTCAAAGGACACATTCTGCTCAACTTCATGGAGAAACGCATCCGTTCGCTCGAGGTTTAGAAATTTTGTAATTTTTATGATATTTTCAAATAGGTTCTGAAAAAAACCCATGAAAGAACGTATTAGCTTTATTTTGTTTAGTATAATGAAATATGATATATAAAAATGATAATATTCACAAACAAATTCTATCTCCTTCTACATGATTGCTTAGGGCAAGTATCGTTTACTATTTCTTTCCTGATCAGACACTTGGGAAACACACGTCCTTTTTCCAAATTGGATCCCAGGGCTCAAGGATGCTAAATATCAGAATGGGTTGAGATCTGTTATCGGTTTTTTGAGGAACAGTTGAACTTCCCAGATTCTTATATATATCATAACATACAATATTGCTTTACCTGGTCATTGATGTTACAGATCAAATATAACAATAATTTGTATAGTCCTTCAGGATGATAAGGTCTTTGAAGATTAAAATATATAACAGTATCCCTTTATCGGGGTCATCTAATGCCCGCCCTTCCGGTCCTTGATATTACACTTCCTATATTTAGATAGAATAAAATTGCCTTGCACGTTTATATTTCAACCAAACATAGTTACAAACCGTGCAGTCCTTCCGAAGGAGAAGGTTTAATTTTACACTTAATATTGTATTGCTTTGATTCCTACTGCTCACCCCTTATTGGTCTACAGCCTTCATTTGAACAACATAGATCCTGAATTTGGTTAGCATGAATTAAGCCATTATGGTGATTGAATCCTTATAAGACTTAAAGTCATCATTTTCTCCGTGTTAGCCTCACCTGTAAGTCACAAAAGGCAATATTCCCTTTCAATTAAATTTTGATCATTTAGTTTTATCATTTCATTCAAATCCAACCTTTTTGAGGTCTTCGTATCGAAGATCGAGAATACAGAGGTCTTTATTATTCCGCTTAGCTTCTTCCCATTCCTTAATGTACGTGAACAGTGAGCATCCGATACCAAAGACTGTAAAAATAAAACACTTGTACGTGAACGGTGAATGACCGACAACCACGACTGTAAAAATAAAACACATATACGTGAACGGTGAGCAACCGATACCATGAACTGCAACCCCCCCCCCCCCCCCCCCCCCCCCCACACACACACATATACGTGAACAGTGATTAACCGATACTCACGACTGTAATAATAACAAAAAGGTTCGTGAACAATGAGTAACCGATGCTCACGACTGTAATAATAAAACACATGTACGTGAACAGTGAGTAACCGATACCCACGACTGTAAAATAAAACACATGTACGTGAACAGTGAGCAACCGATACTGACAGACTGTAATAATAAAACACATATACGTTAACAGTGAGTAACCGACACCAACGACTGTAAAAATAAAACACATGTACGTGAACAGTGAGTAACCGACACCACAGACTGTAAAAATAAAACACATGTACGTGAACAGTGACCAACCGAAACCAAAGACTGTAAAAATAAAGCACACGTACGTGAACAGTGAGTAACCGAAACCACAGACTGTAAAATTAAAACACATGTACGTGAACAGTGAGCAACCGATACCCACGACTGTAATAATAAAACACATGTACGTGAACAGTGAGCAACCGATACCACAGACTATAAAAATAAAACAAATGTACGTGAACAGTGAGCAACCGATACCACAGACTGTAAAAATAAAGAACATGTACGTGAACAGTGAGTAACCGATACCCTCAGACCGTATTAATAAACCCCATGTACGTGAACAGTGAGTAACCGGCACCCACGATTGTAAAAATAAAACACATATACGTGAACATTGAGTAACAGATACCACAGACTGTAATAATAAAACACATGTACGTGAACAGGGAGCAACCGATACCCAGGGCAGTAAAATAAAACACATGTACGTGAACAGTGAGTTACCGATACCATAATAAAACACATGTACGTGAACAGTGAGTTACCGATACCATAATAAAACACATGTACGTGAACAGTGAGTAACCGGCACCCACGATTGTAAAAATAAAACACATATACGTGAACAGTGAGTAACAGACACCCACGACTGTAAAAATAAAACACATGTACGTGACCAGTGAGCAACCGATACCACAGACTGTAAAAATAAAACACATGTACGTGAACAGTGAGCAACCGATACCCAGGGCAGTAAAATAAAACACATGTACGTGGACAGTGAGTAACCGATACCCACAGACTGTAAAAATAAAACACATATACGCGAACAGTGAGTAACCGATACCAATAGACTGTAAAAATAAAACACATGTACGTGAACAGTGAGCAACCGATACCCACGGCTGTAAAATAAAACACATGTACGTGGACAGTGAGTAACCGATACCACAGACTGTAAAAATAAAACACATGTAAGTGAACAGTGAGAAACAGATACCCACGATTGTAAAAATAAATCACATATACGTGAACATTGAGTAACAGATACCACAGACTGTAATAATAAAACATATATACGTGATCAGTGAGTAACCGTCAACCACGACTGTAAAAATAAAACACATATACGTGAACAGTGAGTAACCGATGCCCACGACTGTAAAAATAAAACACATATACGTGAACGGTGAGCAACCGAAAAGAAAGAATGTAATAATAAAACACATATACGTTAACAGTGAGTAACCGACACCCACGCCTATAAAAATAAAACAAATATACGTGAACAGTGAGCAACCGACACCCACGACTATAAAAATAAAACACATGTACGGGAACAGTGAGAAACCTATACCACAGACTGTAATAATCAAACACATGTACATTAACAATGAGTAATCGATACCCACAGACTGTAAATATAAAACACATGTACGTGATCAGTGAGCAGCCGATCCCACAGACTGTAATAATAAAACACATGTATGTGAACAATGAGTAACCGATACCACAGACTGTAAAAAAGAAGCAAAGGTACGTGAACAGGGAGTAACCGATACCCACGACTGTAATAATAAAACACATGTACGGGAACAGTGAGCAACCTATACCACAGACTGTAATAATAAAACACATGTACATTAACAGTGAGTAATCGATACCCACAGACTGTAAAAATAAAACACTTGTACCTGAACAGTGAGCAACCGATACTCACAGACTGTAATAATATAACACTTGTACGTGAACGGTGAGCAACCAACACCTGCGACTATAAAAATAAAACACTTGTACGTGAACGGTGAGTAACCGATACCCACGACTCTAAAACTAAAAGACATATACGTGAACAGTGAGCAACCGATAACCACAGACTGTTATAATAAAACACATATACGTTAACAGTGAGTAATCGATACCCACGACTCTAAAAATAAAACACATATACGTGAACAGTGAGCAACCGATACCCACGGACTGTAATAATATAACACTTGTACGTGAACGGTGAGCAACCAACACCTGCGAATATAAAAATAAAACACATATACGTGAACAGTGAGTAACCGATACACACAGACTGTAAAAATAAAACACATGTACGTGAACAGTGAGTTACCGATACCTACTACTGTAAAACTGAAGCACAGGTACGTGAACAGTGAGTAACCGATATCCACGACTGTAATAATAAAACACGTGTACGTGAACAGTAAGTAACCGACACCCACGACTATAAAAATAAAACACATGTACGTGAACAGTGAGTTACCGATACCTACTACTGTAAAACTGAAGCACAGGTACGTGAACAGTGAGTAACCGATANTAATAAAATACATGTACGTGAACAGTGAGTAATCGATAACCACGACTGTAGTCATAAAACACATGTATGTGAACGGTGAGCAACCGATACCCAAGACTGTAATAATAAAACACATATACGTGAACAGTGAGCAACCGATACCACAGACTGTAATAATAAAACACATGTACGTGAACAGTGAGTAACCGATACCCACGAGTGTAATAATAAAATACATGTACGTGAACAGTGAGTAATCGATAACCACGACTGTAGTCATAAAACACATGTATGTGAACGGTGAGCAACCGATACCCAAGACTGTAATAATAAAACACATATACGTGAACAGTGAGCAACCGATACCACAGACTGTAATGATAAAACACATGTACGGGAACAGTGAGTAATCGATACCCACAGACTGTAAAAATAAAACACTTGTACGTGAACGGTGAGTAACCAACACCTGCGACTATAAAAATAAAACGCATATACGTGAACAGTGAGTAACCGATAACCACGACTGTAAAAATAAAACACATGTTCGTGAACAGTGAGTAACCGATAACCACAGACTGTAATTATATAACACTTGAACGTGAACATTGAGCAACAGACACCTACGACTGTAATAATAAAACACATATACGTGAACAGTCAGCAACCGATACCACAGACTGTAATGATAAAACACATGTACGGGAACAGTGAGTTACCGATACCTACTACTGTAAAACTGAAGCACAGGTACGTGAGCAGTGAGTAACCGATACCCACGACTGTAATAATAAAACACATGTACGTGATCAGTGAGCAACCGATACCACAGACTGTAATGATAAAACACATGTACGGGAACAGTGAGTTACCGATACCTACTACTGTAAAACTGAAGCACAGGAACGTGACCAGTGAGTAACCGATACCCACGACTGTAGAAATAATACAGACTGTAAAAATAAAACACATGTACGTGATCAGTGAGCAACCGATACCACAGACTGTAATAATAAAACACATGTATGTGAACAATGAGTAACCGATACCACAGACTGTAAAAAACAAGCACAGGTACGTGAACAGGGAGTAACCGATACCCACGACCGTAATGATAAAACACATGTACGTGAACAGTGAGTTACCGATACCTACTACTGTAAAACTGAAGCACAGGTACGTGAGCAGTGAGTAACCGATACCCACGACTGTAAAAAAACCCACATGTACGTGAACAGTGAGTAACCGACACCCACAACTATAAAAATAAAACACATGTACGTGAACAGTGGGTAACCGATAACCACAGACTGTAATTATATAACACTTGAACGTGAACATTGAGCAAACGACACCTACGACTGTAATAATAAAACACATATACCTGAACAGTGAGTAACCGATACACACAGACTGTAAAAATAAAACACTTGTACGTGAACGGTGAGTAACCAACACCTGCGACTATAAAAATAAAACGCATATACGTGAACAGTGAGTAACCGATAACCACGACTGTAAAAATAAAACACGTACGTGAACAGTGAGTAACCGATAACCACGACTGTGAAAAAACCCACATGTACGTGAACAGTGAGTAACCGATACACACGATACTCACAGACTGTAATAATGTAACACTTGTACGTGAACGGTGAGTAACCAACACCTGCGACTATAAAAATAAAACGCATATACGTGAACAGTGAGTAACCGATACCGACGACCGTAATAATAAAACACATGTATGTGAACAATGAGTAACCGATACCACAGACTGTAAAAAACAAGCACAGGTACGTGAACAGGGAGTAACCGATACCCACGACCGTAATGATAAAACACATGTACGTGAACAGTGAGCAACCGATTCTCACAGACTGTAATAATGTAACACTTGTACGTGAACGGTGAGCAACCAACATCTGCGACTATAAAAATAAAACACTTGTACGTGAACGGTGAGTAACCGATACCACAGACTGTAAAAAAAAAGCACAGGTACGTGAACAGGGAGTAACCGATACCCACGACCGTAATGATAAAACACATGTACGTGAACAGTGAGTAATCGATAACCACGACTGTAGTCATAAAACACATGTATGTGAACGGTGAGCAACCGATACCCAAGCCTGTAATAATAAAACACATATACGTGAACAGTGAGAAACCGATACCACAGACTGTAATGATAAAACACATGTACGGGAACAGTGAGTAATCGATCCCCACAGACTGTAAAAATAAAACACTTGTACG